GAGGCAAAGGAGATTTGATGCCGAAGAGGATGGTACCCTATCGACCACTGAATAATATCTATAGGCGAGGGATACGATGAGGAAGAAGAGAATCAATATAGACTTGAGATCATATGGGCATACACACATATACACATACACGCGCACACGCACACACATACACACATACATACGCACTAGCACACATTCATTCATTCATTCATTCACGCACACGCATATAAACACACACATATGGTCTCCAACAGAACACGGGGAATTAGTATTACGTTGGGTGGGGTAGGACGGAATATCTGGGGGGGAGGAGGAAGGTAGTAAAGAAATATATGGAGGGAAATAGGGGGGGGGGTAAGACGAGGTATCTGGGGGGGGTATGATGGGAAAATAGAAAGAAACGGAGGGTGGATGGGGTAGGGCAGAAGTTTTGGGAGAGTAGGACAGGGGGGATAGCGAAATTAATAAAAGAAGAAATAAAAAGAAATGTTAAAACTAACAATATTATTAATAACTATTTATTAACTTTAATTATATAATATTTATTAAATTTAATAACTATTTATTACTTTTTTACACGTTTAGTAATATAATTTAGAAATAATTAATTTTATTTGACTATTAATTGCACGAGTGAAATAATAACTGTAATATGCATATAATAATTAGAAACTGATATTATATATTATATATATTAAATCTTCACAATTTATTGTTGATCGCCAGTGATAAAATTTTTCACAAATAATAAGATGCAATTTAATTCGACCAAAAACTGGCTATTCATTTATTGAAAATAAGTACACACTACGTTTCGACTCACATTGTGGTCCTTTTCAAGTGTTGTTCTTATTCAGCAATTACATTAATTAAAAATAGAAACATGAAAGTTGTCTTGTCATATCGACAATCTGTTAGCTACTGATCAGTAAAACGTGAAACCCAGCATTTTCCAACATCATCATTGCCATCTATATCAGAAATTTGTTCAGCCAATTTAAGCTTGTCTTTTGCTTTATCGTATGTGTCTAAAAATATATAAAAAAAAATTATAAATATTTTTCAATAAAACAAACATCATATAGAATTAATAAACTTATAATATAACTATTAAATAATATTAATTTTTTGCTTATTTTACAAAAATATAACTATTTTTTCTTAACTATGTGATATTTGCATTTTTAAAGGTTTGTATATTATATATATGTATATGATGATATAACGTTATAATTAATATATATAATAAGATGCAATTTAATTCAACCAAAAACATGAAAGTTGTCCTTCATATCGACAATCTGTTAGCTACTGATCAGTTGTCCTATCATATCGACAATCTGTTAGCTACTGATCAGTAGCTAACAGATTGTCGATATGATAGGACAACTGATCAGTAGCTAACAGATTGTCGATATGAAGGACAACTTTCATGTTTCTATTTTTAATTAATGTAATTGCTGAATAAGAACAACACTTGAAAAAGACCACAATGTGGGTCGAAACGTAGTATGTACTTATTTTCAATAAATGAATAGCCAGTTTTTGGTCGAATTAAATTGCATCTTATTATATATATTAATTATAACGTTATATCATCATATACATATATATAATATACAAACATTTAAAAATGCAAATATCACATAGTTAAGAAAAAATAGTTATATTTTTGTAAAATAAGCAAAAAATTAATAATTATTTAATAAATAGTTATATTATAAGTTTATTAATTCTATATGATGTTTGCTTTATTGAAAAATATTTATAATTTTTTTTTATATATTTTTAGACACATACGATAAAGCAAAAGACAAGCTTAAATTGGCTGAACAAATTTCTGATATAGATGGCAATGATGATGTTGGGAAATGCTGGGTTTCACGTTTTACTTTACGGAAGGAATGAGACACATGTGTGATCATCGAGCTTTATTCGCCAACTAACTAACTCTTGTTCAGCTGCCCAAAAAGAATGCGCGTGGCACTGTAGCTTGCAGAATTTCACTACCTTACAAAAGCGCGGGGCAACAGAAATTTTTAAATTTAAATATAATGTTTAACATAAATATCCACCCGACATTAAAGCATTGCCTTTAATAAACATAAAAGAACAAGAAAAGAAAAATAATCTTATCGCCCTTTTTGCGAACTTTGCTAACTTGTATACATTGAAACTAAACTTGCAAAATTTTAAAACAATAAAATAAAGCACATTTAAACAAAATTGTGTTTTAGCGTTGATAAGCTCAAAAACTAAACTTAAATCTAAATGTACATAGTTCTCTTAACGTAAAATTTAAATTATTCGCACGCGGTTTTTTCTTTGGTTTGTGGTAGTGGGCATATTTTTGCACAAGCACGACGAATTACGCCGGAAGATGTGCGTATCGACACCACTCGCACTATGCCATCAGAACCAGCATAGGTGTCCTGGATCCTTCCCAATTTCCATTTGGACGGCAGTAGGTTTTCTTCTTTGACTAGAACAAGCGCGCCCGATGGTAAAGTGGGAAATGGAAATTTATCCTATAAATTCTTATCTCCACGCTTGATCCCTCCCGCTCTTTTTCTGAGCGTTTGCTCGGTTCCGTTTGTGTCTCGAACATCATTTTGGTCTTTCGAGCCGGATTGGGGTACATCCGCGTGGAGTTCTACAGAACGTAGTGTCGAGGAATTTAACAGTGCACAGCGATTACGATGAGTAAACTCATGGGAAACAACTTACGTTGTTACATTTGATTGCGCGTTCGTTTGACAATTTCAAAAAAATCGGAAAAAACAATTACACCGGACCTAAGATTCGATCGCAGGTGTCCGTATTAAAAGAGATTTGGGTCCAGTGTGTTCAGACTCACGCCGTTCTTCTTCAGTGCATTGCGTAGTAGAAACGTGAGGCGTTAGACTATTTTACTAAGCAACGGTTTGAGACTTATGAAGAAATCTACCATGATACATTCGATTACATGGCTGAGTGTCTCGAAGTAATAGAGCCAGTTGTCCTACTACATCAGGCTCCTGATTATTCGCAGCCAACGGGTACAACGTCGCCGAACTTCTCTTTGTCGCATCTGCCAACCACCAATCTCCCGCTGTTCTCCGTCAAGTATGAAGAATGGGAAAGTTTCCGTGATCGATTCAAATCGTTCATAGTCGGTAACCCGGATTTATCAAAGTTCGCGCAAATGCACTTTTTGTCATCGAGTCTCACCGGACGCGCGCTAGAGACAATTAAGAATATTCAGTAAGCTCAAAACTTCGATATCGCGTGGAAAACTCTAACTTCACGCTACGAGAATAAACGTCGATTAATTGAGATACATGTCTCGGCATTATATAATCTTCCAAATGTCTCGCGCGAATTTGTATTCGAACTGAACAAGGTTAGGTTTGCGATAAAGCTAATCGCGCGATAGCTTCGCTAAAAAATTTAAATCGGATTTCTGAGAATATCTTTAAGGGGATGCTGGATGTCTGTTTTATCGATCGGATGATTATAGATTTTTCTGCACCAAAAACTTTATTAGTTTAATAAAATAATAAATTCAGATAAGAAATATATGTCGGCTCTCAATATTATTAATAATAATAATACATGAATTTTAAATCGGCCAATAGAGCCCAAGCGCGAAAAATTAATTCTTCGGAACTGTATCTCTTGGTTTGAGATTACTAATTAAGAATTTAACAAGGCTCTGTAATATAAATATAAATATAAATTGAGTGTTAAACAGGCAATATACGAGTAAGAGCCACATCGCGGATGACAGTGCGTTATCCCAACCAAACTAAATTTTTTGTTAGGATTAAAACCTGTGCACAAAGCACAAAATTTTTACTTGGACACGGCCAAGATTTAAAATTGCAATAATCTCTACAAGAGATTTAATTCCATACATCTTCTGTTCCCCCCTTAAGGAAATAAATGCAAGAGAAAAATATAGATCCGAAAGTCGCTGAATCGGAAATCGAACCCGAGACCTTTCGCTTGCCGAGCGACTGCTCTTCCATCTGAGCTATTCAGATCCCTTCGATTCTATACTTTTCTCTATTATATATATAATACTGTTGATAAACAAACGCCTCTAAGCCAGCGTGTACAAATTATGAATTTAATTTTAAATCTTAGCCGTGTCCAAGTAAAAATTTTGTGCCTTGTGCACAGGTTTTAATCCTAACGAAAAATTTAGTTTCGTTAGGATAACGCACTGTCATCCGCGATGTGACTCTTATATTGCCTGTTTAACACTCAATTTATATTTATATTTATATTACAGAGCCTTGTTAAATTCTTAATTTGTACACGCTGGCTTAAAGGCGTTTGTTTATCAACAGTATTATATATATAACAGAGAAAAGTATAGAATCGAAGGGATCTGAATAGCTTAGTTGGGAGAGCAGTCGCCCGGCAAGCAAAAGATCTCGGGTTCGATTCCCGATTCAGAGACTTTCGGATCTATATTTTTCTCTCGCATTTATTTTCTTAGGGGGAAACAGGGGATGTATGGAATTAAATCTCTTGTAGAGATTATTCCAATTTTAAATCTTGGCCGTGGCCAAGTAAAATTTGGTGCCTTGTGCACAGGTTTTTAATTCTAACGAAAAAATTTAGTTTTGTTGGGATAACGCACTGTCATCCGCGATTTGGCTCTTATTGCCTGTTTGACACTTTAAATACCTGTTAATTTAAAGTACATGGTAAAGTAAATGATCATAGTGTCTGTTTGTTGTAACCGATCAAAATATGACAAACTTGAAAGTAATAAAAGAACAGCAGTGTTCATTTTGACATATAACTTTACATTAAACCGACACACAGACAAGCTCTCGAATAAATAACACAATTAAAAAGAAAAATAGAAAAATAGAAGTCAATCGAATAAAATAAAATTAAATAAACAAAATAAATAAACATAGGGACGCTTCTAAAACACTTCATAAATGATGAAAACAAATTATACATAAACTCTACTTAAATAAAAACAGAAATAAAATAAAATAGGAGATATTATGAACGGACAGGCTGAAAAATTGATAAGCTCATTACCGGTGACAGGAGACAACTACGAACGTGCATGGACGATACTGTACAAACACTACGAAAACGAGAGAGAACTCATCCGATGCAACTTCGCCGCATTCACCGCCGTGCCGAGAATGAAGAACGGAACCGCTGAAGAACTGCATCGCATCCATAACGCTGCCGTCACAGTCGTCAACGCACAGGAAAGTATAGGTCGTTCCATTGAATCTCACGGAATGGACCTCCTAAACTACCTGATCGTCGAACAATTCGACGCACACACTCGGATGGAATGGGAGAATTCCATATCCGACTCCAACAAGTCACCACAGCACGAAACACTTTTGGACTTCATGACGCGACGGATGTTCACACTTAACGCCGTGCATCCGAAGACTCTCAAGAAGAACTTCGGAGATTCTTCACGAACGGCGAAGACACATGTTGCGAAGCACGGAACTGACCTTCCACAATGCGCACTGTGCCATGAAAAGCACCATCTGATGACGTGTCGCGAATTCAAGACAAAATTCGCTGCAGATCGAAAGGCCTTCGTTGAGACACACAGACTGTGTTTCAACTGCCTCGGAAATCACTATCTCACAAAATGTCAGTCGAAGAAGAACTGCTACACATGCAAGGCACGTCATCACACTTCACTGCACGACGCATACAACACGGTCACCGCACATACACCAGAAGCCACTTTACTCGCCGCACTGCACAAAGCCAAAGAACAGAAGGCTGTACTTCTCGCCACTGCTCGGGTGAACATAGCCGATCGCCATGGAGCACCGCACGACGTCCGAGCACTGATCGACCAAGGATCAGAGGTGTCGATCGTTTCTGAGGCACTGGTGCAACGATTGAACCTGCCTCGATCACGCACCGACATGGCCATCTTTGGGATCGGAGGCGCACGACCAGGATCAACGCGTGGCAAGGTCACGCTGCACCTCACTTTGGACATCACGAACGCCCGGCTCTCCGTGATAGCGTTTATATTGCCACGCCTATCACTTCTTCAAGGCTCCACGTCCAGCACACTACAAGATTGGCCGCATATTCGAGGACTCCAACTGGCGGATCCTCAATTTCGCGAGAACAATCCAGCCGAGCTACTCCTGGGAGCGGAGGTGTGCTCCTTAATTCTTGAAGAGGGTCTACGCAAAGGTGGACCTCAGATGCCAATTGCGCAGAAGACATCACTAGGATGAATACTCTCTGGAGGCTCCGACGTCACATCCGCAGAAGAGCACCGTCGCACATTCCAGTGCACTGCCGATCACGAGCTACTCGAGCTGGTGCAGCAGTTTTGGGAACAGGAACGGGAGCCCAACGCAGTCACGACACTCTCCGTCGAAGAGCAGCAATGCAAGGAATTCTTCGTGCACACGCACACTTGCACCTCTTCAGGACGATATGTGGTGAAGCTGCCGTTCTTCTCACCAATCACTGCACTCCGAGAAATTCGCAAACCAGCTGAGCGGCTTCTTACAACGATGGAGAGGCGATGCGTCCAGGACCGTCGATTCGGCAATCTGTATCGCAACTTCATGACAGAATACGAAGACCTAAAACATATGACGCTGGTGACATGCTCCACAACTAGCAATCAGTCAACGTACTTACCACATCATGGAGTACTTAAGGAGTCCAGTGCCACGACAAAGCTGAGGGTCGTGTTCAATGGGTCGCAGCGAACGCGAACAGGAGACTCATTAAATGCACACCTCATGACTGGAGCAAATCTTCTGCCAGCTCTTCCTGACGTACTACTTCGATGGCGTCAACACCAGTATGTCTTCGTTGCTGATATAGAAAAAATGTATCGGCAGATACTCGTGCATCCGGATGACTGCAAATTCCAAACGATCCTGTGGCGTCATTCAACTGATGATGAAGTGCGAGAATACCAGCTGAGAACGGTCACCTACGGTCTGGCGTGTGCTCCGTTTCTCGCCATACGGACACTCCGTCAGCTCGCAACAGACGAAGAAGAGCAGTTTCCTTGTGGCGCCGTGGCTCTGCGTCGAGACTGTTACGTCGACGATGTGGTCACCGGCTCAAATACGCTGAACGATGCGATCGCACTCCAGACGGAAATTCGCAACCTCTGCTTGGCGGGCGGATTTCCGTTAAAGAAGTGGGCAGCCAACGACGAGAGGATCCTGACTGGAGTACCAAGCGATCATCTTTTGCAGCAATTACCGCCAGCCTGGGAAGGAGAGAGCCACTCCACGCTAGGACTCCGCTGGCACCCACAACACGACCAGTTCTCCTTCGTGTTTCATCCGCACGCTGCCATCAACCACACGAAGAGAACGGTTTTATCCGAAACCGCACGGCTCTTCGATCCAATGGGGTGGCTCGCTCCAGTCGTGATTCGAGCAAAAATTCTCATCCAATCCACGTGGCTGCAAGGATTGGACTGGGACACCCCGCTGTCGCCATCCGAAGCTCGAGAGTGGCAACGTCTTCTAGAAAAACTCCATCTTCTAGATCAGTTGCGAATAAACCGCTGGCTCGGGACCGGAGCAGATAAGACCACGCTGCAGCTTCATGGCTTCGCCGACGCATCCGAACGATATGCCGCCGCCGTATACATCCGCATCACTGAAAGGAACGAAACGTCAATAAGGTTATTGATGGCCAAAAGCAAGGTAGCACCCGTCAAACAAGTGACCTTGCCGAGGCTGGAGTTGTGCGCCGCCACGCTACTCACCAATTTGATGCGACATGTCAAACAAACGCTCGACCTGGCAACGTCAGACACATACTTATGGTCTGATTCAACAGTGACCCTCCAGTGGATTCGCGGTCACTCCTCACGCTGGAAGACTTTCGTCGCCAATCGAGTCGCTCACATCCAGACGCAGCTGCCTAATGCACAATGGAGACACGTAGCTGGTCGCGACAACCCTGCGGACTGTGCATCAAGGGGTATTAATCCAAGCGAACTGATCAATCACGCTCTATGGTGGACAGGACCTACCTGGTTATCACAGAACGAACCGGCCTGGCCAAATTCCGAGATGGAGATCCGAGGAGACGACGTGCCAGAAAGGAAAGCCACGAGCCTGATGACTGTGAACCGGGTCATCGTCGAACCAGAAATCCTGCTCCGCTTCTCATCACTGCATCGCCTGCTACGGATATCCGCATGGTGCCGTCGCTGGCTGCGCGCTTCAGAGCCGACTCACACTGCTGGATTAACGTTGAGTCCGGAGGAACTTGACATGGCACTCTTTCGTTGGCTTCAAGAAGTGCAGACACTGCACTTCACGGACAAGATCACCGCAGTCTCAGCTGGACGCTCCGTCGCACCAAGCAGCACATTAGCCAAGCTGACTCCGTTCCTCGACGACCATGGTGTTCTGAGAGTGGGAGGTCGGCTTAAGAACGCCCTGCTGACACAGGATGAGAGGCATCCGATGATCATTCCAACCTCGTCGTGGCTGACTCGTCTGCTGGTGGAATCCTGTCACCGTCGGACGCTGCATGGAGGAGTGCAACTCACCCTGGGGCTGCTTCGACTGCGCTTCTGGATTCCACGAGGACGCACAGTTGTAAAACAACAACTACATCGTTGCGTCACCTGCACAAGATGGCGAGCAACGACGCTTCAGCCACCGATGGGTAATCTACCCCGCGATCGGGTCACTCCGACTCAGCCATTTCTGCGCACTGGAGTGGACTATGCAGGACCCATCCTCATCCGGACGAGCAAGGGACGAGGACACCGCGCCTATAAGGGCTATATCGCAGTATTCATCTGCTTTTGGTCCAGAGCCATCCACCTCGAACTTGTCTCGGATTACTTTTCAGAGGCCTTTATCGCCGCTTTACGTCGCTTTGTCTCACGTCGAGGTCTCTGTACGGACATATATAGCGACTGTGGAACGACCTTCATCGGAGCTGACCGCACTTTACGTGAGCTCGTCGTCGCTGCATCCACAGAGGGTCGTGGAATCGCACGCGTAGCTGCTGAACACGGCATACGGTGGCACTTCAATCCACCAGCAACTCCGCACTTCGGCGGATTGTGGGAGGCAGCCGTCAAATCCGCTAAGTATCACTTACGGAGGGTGATAGGTGAAACCACCCTCACCTTTGAGGAACTGACCACTCTCCTCACACAAATTGAGGCCTGTTTAAATTCTCGTCTATTACAGGCACTCTCTGACGATCCAGACGATATTACAGCACTGACTCCGGGCCACTTCCTGATCGGCGCGCCGCTTCTCGCCATCCCGGAGCCAGTACAGGAGGACAACCGTGGATCCGCAGCATCACGATGGCATCATCTCCAGGCGATGCGAGACTTTTGGCGGAGATGGTCGGGAGAATACATCCATGGACTCACCTCACAACCTAAATGGCTGAAGGTCGAGACAACACCTCGCATCGGAGCACTCTGCCTTGTGCGCTCCGAGATTTCGCCTCTAAACCGGTGGCCTCTCGCCCGGATTACAAAACTGCATCCCGGCGACGACGGGATCGTACGCGTGGTCACTGTTCAAACCGCGACCTCCGAGCTCGTGCGTCCGCTCGTAAAATTGTCTTACTTCCCGACTTCGCAACGGACGTAACGACACGCAACGCATAGACAGAAATGCACGACGCGTCACATCACTCACACACCTTTACTCACGTTCATTCGCTATGCACTTGATTACACATCACATACGCACTGTAACCACTTTTCACATTCACGCACATTATTTCACATCGAAAACGCGTTTCACTATTCTCAGCTGATCGCACCACGCTGTCAACACGTGTTCATCGTTTCAGCTGATCGAGCGACATTCCACGCGATAATCACGTGTATCTCGCCGCGCCGGCGCGCGCCTACCCCACTATCAATCGCGATCGAGAATTTATAGCGACTTATTGTCAGCGGGTGACAAGGCGGGCGGAATGTTTGAAATTGAGAAGAAAATTAATATAATTATTTAATTAATAAGAATATTTGTAAGTCAGCTCTCCAATTGTTTTAAAAACTCCATATTCATCTCGACTAAGAGCCAAACGCGATGTTATTGCGACAAATTAAGATAAGAAGATTTTTGGAAACTGAGGAATTTGAATCCTATGGTTGGGATCTCAGAAATTCCCCTTGTTCCTTCTCTAAACATCCCCTGTAAGAAAAAGACGAGAAAAATATTGGTCCGAAAGTCGGCTGAATCGGGAATCGAACCCGAGACCTTCCGCTTGTCGGGCGACTGCTCTTCCAACTGAGCTATTCAGACACTTACAAATCAATATTTTTCTCAATGTTTATACCCCTCAGTTGTTATTTTATATGTTATTTTTTAAAGGGTGAACAATTCTTTTCGGCCTTCAAATACGCGCTCTCCTTCACGCGTTCGCGCACACAACTAATGATAAATATTTTCAATAGTGTCAGATTTAATAACAGCTATTAAAAGGATCATCAATAACATTAAAAATGACATGTTAGAAAAAGTTTTTACGAGTTTTCGTAAAAGAACAAAATTTTGTACCAATTTAAATGCTGCGCACTTCAAAAATATTTATTATTAGTTTACATATGATTATTCATCATACATGTGATTATTAGCACTTTTTTAATTACTTTTTTTCAATAAAATAAACTAATAAACATTTTATTTATTTTCATTAAAAACTGCAAACTTTCTTTGCCCAACACAATTTTTGTTTTCATAATAACTGCATGCATTAAAAAATGGCAGCTGATTAGTTTCAATTCCTATGGGAACAAGGGGGCAATTTCCTATGGGACACCCTGTATGAATTATTTGTAATTATTGTTTTTTATTACAAGTTTGCGTCCTTACAACTGCGATATTACTTTCATAGTCAAATCTCATTTAGATTTATTTATGTTATTTATCAAACATTAAGAAATTTAAAGACTTAATATCAAATATTTATTTGAAATAAACGAGCTATAAGAGCCGAACGCGAATATTTGTGCGTTAGTTATAGTGAAACTTAATTTTTTGCTACAATCAGATAATTGTGCCTGGGGCACGAATTTTGTTTGGTATATTGCTTAGACTTATTTAGGAATTGTATCTTCATTCGAGATTATTTATTGCTGTGTTCCCCTCTGACCCCCCTCCCTCCGCAACTATAGAAAAAGAGGTGAAAAAAATTCTAAAGTCGCTGAATTGGGAATCGAATCTTTTTAGAATTTAAATTCTCATTTTTTAAAACCAACTCACAGCTATTTAAATTTGCTTATTTTTTAAACAATAGTTTTTGACCCCTTAATTATTGTAAGGAATATAATTAAACAAGTATTTTAAAAACAAGTTTGTTTACGCCTAATATCCTATCTACATTTAGCTCTTATTAGTCCTTTTTAAATCTAACTTTGTATTTATATACAGCTTTTTCCATTTATTATTATAAAGTATGTTTAGTTAGAATAATTTGATATATATGTAAAAAATTTAATAAATTCAATTCAAGTTCTAAGTACAAACGTAACGAGAAATAAGTGAAAAAAGGCAAATGAGAGTCGTAAGCACTGGCAGTAGAGTGCGATAATGATTATTTATTCATAGAGAAAATACAAAATCTAGACGTTTTGGTCCTTCTATAGAACCATCTTCAGTATATAAAAATAAATAAAATGAAGCAGTGTGTCGATATATTAACTTGTCATCGGTAAACAATAAAGTTTTTTCTATAAATAAATAATTATTATTGCACTCTATTTCCAGTGCTTACAGCTCTTATTTGCCCTTTTTCACTTATTTATGTAAATTTATATACCTGGTAAAATATTTGAAGACAGGATCAGATAATAGTGGCTTGATAGCGCTCAAATTTTCCTCCCACAGAGTTTGCAGCGTTTGAATCATAAAATAAAACACATTTTGTGATGGATCTATAATGATTCCGTTTGTTATGGATATCAGTAAGTCCACCGTAAAATATGGATACTGAAAAATATATTTATAATAGAATATATAATTCTTTGTATTTAATATTATACTAAAAAATAAATTTTTTTAATATTATTTAAGAGCATAACTTAATATGATACATATGTGTTTAAAAATACACAGTTCAAGTTTATTCTCGATAATTCGCCGATTGTTTCTTGGAAGGTCAAGGGACTTGTGAATCACAAAATTAGTCATTTTTGCACTAAATATTCTTTAGTGCACCAACAATAGTAGTGTTTAATTAATAATTCTCAATAATAGTTAAAGTATACAAGATCACTTTCTCTCAAGATATATCTATCCATCGATATTTTCGCCAGACTGGAGGCCTACTTTTTCGTCTCGACCACTCTACCCTTGCTCTTTACAAGCATTTACAGTAGCTCTCTGTGTTAGAACTAATCACTTTTGGTAATTCTCGACATGTCCATATAACACTATACATTTGCATGGTTACCTTTTGACACTGATCGTACTATAAGTGTTGGTAGCGAGAGGGTTTCATTAGTGGGAAGAAAATCACGTGAAATCAAAACCATATATAATGTATTGTCATGTACAATTGCTATGGATAACTCCAATACGCAATATGTATAGAAGGTGTCTCGAGGTCCACGTGTTATGGAAGTCATTTAAAGTTAAAATTGTTTAATAAACATATGTCCGCGCAAAAATGCTTCCTAACAGAACTACAACTGTTGAAGTTTTTAGTAAATTATTGATTCGTAGTATACCCTAATACGCTTTACGTACGCTTAAGGATCACATGGTTAGGTAAAAATGGATGATGATTAGTCGAGAATTAAAGTAAACAAAATTAACGCATAACTGAATTTATTTGTATATGTTTACATTTTCTTTATTATAAGAGGGTCCAATCTGTAAACAATAAATTGTTTATAAAAGGAAAAGGAATGAAACACGCTGTGATTGGCTGGGACTATATACGACGTCATTATACAATAGTTTTAAATTGTTGCTATAGTATTTTATATATTTATCCAATTGTTTTGATACAATGTAGCAATTAATTGACACAAAATTTATTAAAGCACAGTTGGATAATTTACCTATAATAACGGTAATGATTTCTGATTTTTTTTTGCTGAAAGTGGTGTGTTTAATATCGTAGAAACCTGTGGTGTGAAAGCTAAGAAATATATTTTTAAAAACGTGTAATAACAAAAAATCAATAGTAAAACTTATAATGATATAAGATATAATATAAGATATAAGACATATACAGTAAGAAACGATATATCGAAGTATATTAATTTTAATATAACATCTGACACACACACACACATAACCTTTAATACACATTTGTTATCTTGTCGATATATACTTCGATAAAGATGAAAACTATGGCGTTTTAAGCAATTAAATATGTTGAATTGAAACGAGGAAAAAGCTTATGCTATATCAGAGAAAAAGTTTGTCCTGAGCACAAAATAAATATTGTAAACAACAAAGCGTATATTGTATCAATGCTTGACGAAGAAACTGAGGGTGAATACGTTAGGTGCAAAGATTGTGCAGTTTTAGACATTAAAGTATGATTAATACAAAAAAGAAAATGTTAATTGTGTGTTAACTGTGCAATTTTCTTAGATTTAAGGTGGTTGTAACCCTCATGGAAAAATATATATTCAAAAATATATTCAAAATATATTCTATAATATATTTTAGATATATATATATATATATATCTAAAATATATTATACAACATGTTAGATCCTATGAGGCCCGAAAATAACGTCGAAATGTCACATCCATGAGACATCATTTTCTGACGACTTATTGACGTCATTTTGACGTCTTTTAACGTCATTTTGACGTGTTATTGACGGCATAATATGACGAATATAAGACTTAAATTGATGAAATTTTTACAATTTTAACAATTAATATACACATAGTATCAGTTACGACTCATAGTAAGAATTCAATAATATAAAATATAAAAGTATATTCGACAACAGAAAAATGCCTTCTTAATAAATAAATTTACGCACATGTCCGTAAATTTATTTGTTAAAAACTCATTCTTCTGTTGCCGAGTACACTTTACATTAGAAGAATATACTTATGACTTTACTCTTAATTGTCTCTGTTTGTCAGCTTTATATAATTCTTTGATTAAACTTCTATCTTACATGCAAGATAGAGGACATCGCGATGCGTCGCATAGATAAATTAAGAAACTAAATTAGGACGTCTTCAAGACGTCTTAAGACGTCTTTAAAATAATGTCTTTATTTGGTCTAAAAATGACGTCTTATAAACGTTCATTATTAGTCGCTGACGTCATAGACCAAAAATGACTAAAAATAGACGTCTTAATGACGTCTTCTGACGTCACTTTGCTACTTGGATATATATTATTATATATGTAAAATGTATAAGTGCATATAAGAAATTTAATCATTTTTGGCCGCTTATAATATATTTATAATATATGCAAAAATATATATGAAATATAAGTCTGCATATATACCAAATTATATCATTTTTTATTACAAAATATAAATAGTATATATTTATGTGTTTATACAATAATATAGTTTTATATGTATATATGCAAACATATGTGGTGTGTGTGTGTGTGTGTGCGTGTGCGTGTGTGTGTAAAAATATATATAAA